ATCGCCATGAGCATCATCATCATCATCATCATCATCATCATCATCGTCATCATCACTATCATGACATCATCATCAACATCAGAATCATCATCATCAGCATCATCGTCATTAGTATCATCATCATCAGCATCAGCATCATCATCATCATCATCATCACCATCAGCACATCTTCATAATCATCATCATCATCATCATCATCATCATCATCATCATCATCATCATCATCATCATCGGCATCAGCATCAGCATCATCATCATCATTATCATCATCATTTCCATCATCATCATCCTCATCAGCATCATCGTCATCATCATCCTCATCATGATCAACATCATCATCAGCTTCATCATCAGCATCAGCATCAGCATCATCATCGGCATCATCATCAGCAGCATGGTCGCCATCACCATCATCATCATCATCCTGATCCTCATCCTCATCCTCATCAGCATCACAATCAGCATCGTCATCGTCATCATCATCAGAATGAGCATTATAATCAGAATCAGCATGATCGTCACCATCATCATAAGCAGCATTACCATCATCATCATCATCATCATCATCATCATCATCATCATCATCATCATCATCAGCATCATCATCAGCAGCATCGTCATCAGCATCGTCATTGTCATCGTCATCAGCATCGTCGGCATCAGCATCAGCATCATCAGTATCATATGTATAATCCTCATCCTCATCATCATCAGCATCAACGTCAGCATCATCATCATCATCAGCATTACCATCAGCGTCATCATCATAATCATTATTATCATCAGCATCATAATCATCGCCATGAGCATCATCACGATCATCATAATCATCATCATCATCATCATAATAATAAAAATAATGATAATAATAATGATAATAACAGTAAAAATTATGATAATAATAATAATCATCATCATCATCATCATCGCTATCATGACATCATCATCAACATCATAACTATCATCATCAGCATCATCGTCATTAGTATCATCATCATCATCATCATCATCATCATCATCATCATCATCATCAGCGTCATCATCATCAGCATCATCGTCATTAGTATCATCATCATCATCAGTATCATCATCATTATCACCATCAACACATCTTCATAATCATCGTCATCATCAACATCATCATCAGCACCATCATCAGTATCAGCATCATCATGATCATCAGCACCATCATCAGTATCAGCATCATCATCAGCATCGTCATCATCAGCATCATCATCAGCATCACCATCATCATCAGCAGCATCATCATCAGCATCATCATCATCGTGATTATCATCATCATCATCATCATCATCATCATCATCATCATCATCATCATCATCATTATCATCATCATCCCCTCCCCCCTCCGAAAAAGCAACCCCACCACCACCACCACCACCACCAGGGACCACCAGTGGTGTGCCTCCCCTCTTCTCGCCCGAGGTAGTCGCCCGAGGTATTCTCTATCCTGGACCTCCTCGCTGGAGGCGGCCCCCTCGGTGCTGGTCCTAGGACGGGCCTGTCCCCCATACAGGAGGATTGTGGACGAAAAGTTCGAAATAGTCAAATCAAAAACTGCCCCCGCATGGTCGCAAAAATACTTACAAAAATCGTCCCCTTGACTATTTTCTGACTATTTGGGCATACTTCTCCTGTGGAGGGACAGGCCCGATTTAGTGCTGGTCAGCACTGCTTTTCGGCGTCGCGGCCACGCGCGCTGCGGCGCGGCCGAAGAACCGGTCGGGCGAGCGCGCGGACCGACCCGGCTGTCACGCGGCTTTGAGAAGCTGGATCCACCCTGCGGAGATCAGCAGCGAGAAGGCAAGCGAGGCAGCAAGCGAGGCGCAGAAGGCAAGCGAGGCAGCAAGCGAGGCAGCAGCAAGAGGGAGTTCAATACTATTGGTCGATGCCTGCACTACGGAAAAGAACATGGAAAAGGATTCAGAGAAAGCACTTGCTTCATATTGAACGGTTGTCTACGGTCCAAAACATGAACACATTCATTCGCTTCGATCCCCTCTCGCTCCATATTCGAAGGGAAAGCGGCAACGGCATACAACCAAGAAAGAGAGCCAAGGCATCTCGGGGAGCCCGCCCGGGCTGACCAGGGGGCCTGGGTGGGCAACAGCCAGGCATGTCGCCTTACACTTCTAGAAGAGAAAGAGCTATGCACATACACCGATCCTGGGCCCAGGAAGGGCCCGGACAGGATCGGTGCATGTGCATAATTCTCTTCGCTCGAACTGCGTCACCGCGTCGCTGCTGGTGTAAGGGCGTCAGACAGGATCGGAGGAGGATGCCAATCTGGAAGCCCCGTTTGTAGTAGATGTCTGTCCAAGAGCCCCATGGATGCTTGAACGTAGTCTATGATATGATATAGGCATTTCCCATGCGCGGCTAGCATGATTCCCCTGCTGAGCTGATGTGTCGTGCGACATGGCTTGAGAGCAGGAATATGCGAGATCGGACTGGATATCGAAGCGAGCAGGAATGGCTTGCGAGCAGGAATATACGAGCAGGACATGGCTTGCGAGCAGGAATATCGAATCAATGAGATCAGGCCAAATCGGAGCGTACATCGGACTGGGCCGCACCGGCACGGAGTCGGAATCGGATTGGATCGGCCGCGGCAGGACGCACAGCTGCACCGTGCAGGCATCGGGCCGCATCGGATCGTAAGGAAGTCGGCATCGAATCCGATGGGGTCAGCCGAAGTCGATACTGAATCGGATGCATTGGATCTGAATGGGCACTGCGCAGATGGAGGCCTCCCAAGCGGTGTCCAAGCGAATGAGCTGGGGGAATCGCACCGCGTCACGGAAACATCGGCGGTACATGGGCAACGTCGGGATGTAGAAAGTCCGCCGTCCCTTGGGCGTGTGTGTGAGACGCTGTCGTCGGCTTCGTTGTCATCGTTGTCGTCGCCGCTCTCGTCATTGTCGTCGCCGCCGTCGTCGTCGTCAGAGTCCGAAGGAAATATGGGAACGAACAGAAAAAAGGAAAGTCGTAGTCGAGTCCATCCCCTCCCTTTTTCCCCTCCCTGACGGGGGGGGGCGCTACAGGGTTGGGGGGTAGGCGAAAGGGTACCAAGGGATGGGGTAGGCAGGCAGTCACGGAGGTGGTCCTGGGTCAGATTGCTCCCCCCCCCCCTTAGGTCCCGGCGGCCCCCCCTTCCCTCCCCAGTCCCCCCTGTGGACAGGGAGGATGGACGGGGGGTCCTGGAAAAGGTCCTTCCCGCATGTGGTGGGGGAAGGCGATCCCCGGCCTGAATACCGCACCCCCCAGGGGGTCCAGGCAGATCTCGGGGGGGGGGGGCGCCAGCGGGTCCTGGGGGAGATCCCGCCTTCGGGGTCCGCGGCACCTGCCGCAAGGCCTTCACAGTCGAGCTCCGCCTCGAGCCGCATCCTCGATGCACCGGCAATGCGGCGCGATGCCTCGGCCCCGAGGCCTGGGCGAGGAGAAGGCGGTGGAGGTCGGCCCAGGGAGGAGCGCCGGGAGGGGGCCCACTCCCCGCTGCTCCTAAAAGCCTCCCCGATCGGGGTCGAGGATAGAATGGCTTCTCCGTGCTCCGGGGCTTCGGGAGGGGGCCTCCAGAGCCCCTCTGGGGACCTCCCTCTTCGCCCCTCCTTCTCGGGAGCGGCCAAGAGGGGGGTGTCCAATAGGGGGGGGTGCAAATCATGACCGGCGGCACGTGGGCGGCCCAGCGGGGGGGTCAGGGACGTAATGAAATCCTCGGAAAATCGTGTAGGGACTCGTCTGGTGGCCTCGCAATGGGTTTGGGACGCCCAACGAGCGCTCCAAGACGCCCAAGATGGCCCGATGACGGGCCACGAGGCGTCCTCGACGGCAGAAGATGTCCCCACGAGCCCCCCCGAGGGCCTCCGAGATGCGTTCCACGAGGGTCCCTAGACGCAAAAGTTTGGGCCATTCCCTTTTGTGAAATGTATACATTTTACCAATTTCGCTTTGGACCTTTTTCCCGATGCTCCCCGACGGCCCAAGAGGCCCCCAAACCCGCTCCCAGACGGCCCCAGAAGCCTCCCAGAGGGTCCCCCACAGACCCCTAGAGGGCCCAAAATGGACCAACAGGCGTCCAAAACGGCCCAAAAGGGCTCCGAAAACGGCCCCAAGAGCGCTCCAGGAGCGCTCCGAGTGGCCTCCACAAAGCTCCACATGGTCCCAGACGGTCCAAGAGCGATCAAAACCATCGACGACGGCCTCCCGACGGCTCAAGAGGCTTCCCCAGACGCCCCCAGAGGCATCCAAGATTCACCCCAAGAGCCCCTCTAGGCGCAACAAATCGTTCGTTTCCTTCGTAAAACGTACATTTTCTTATACGTGCGCCTTTTGGGGCGCCCCCCGCTCCTGGACGGCCCCAAAGCCACCCAAACCCGCTCCCAGACGGTCCACGACGCGCCCAAGAGGGTTCCCACAGAGCCCTCGAGGGGCTCAAGACGGGCCAACAGACGTCCAAAACGGCCCAAAAGGGCTCCGAAAACGGCCCCGAGAGCGCTCCAGGAGCGCTCCGACTGGCCTCGAAGAGAGCTCCACATGGTCCTCTCGTCGAAACTTGAAGCCACAGCGACACCCGAGCATCCCAACGAAATTCGCATAAACGGTCTTGTCGGAGGAAGGCCTGGGTGCCAAAGGATCTGGCGCCGAACGAGCGCGACCATCCTCAAGCCCCTACCGCCAACCGCATAGAGAATGCACACTCGCCAGCCCAGACCGCAAGGAGCGATTATCCTGACGCGACCGTTGGGTTTGAACTTTTTTGATTTGGTCTCGACCTGTCCAACGCCTCCAACGCGCCTCCGAGGATGACACCCTCCAAGAGGCACACCCGTTGGGCCGGAGGAGAAAAAGAAGAAGAAGGAGGAGGGGAACAAAAAAAAAAAAAAAAAAAAAAAAAAAAAAAACCCAAAAAAAAAAAAAAAAAAAAAAAAAAAAAAAAAAAAAAAAAAAAAAAACGCGTGGTGTTTTTACTGGCTTCAAAACCTCCACCCTGCGCGGTGGGACCTCCGCACGCTGCGAGATCATCATCGCATGGCTTGTGTCGGAGTCCTCCTACAATGTTTCGGCTAAGAAGAGAGAGAATCTGCATCGCTAATCCCACCTCATGCCTCCTCCGTTCCCCATACTTGCATTGCAGCAGCTCAACTCGCCGACGCTTGATTCCGTGCACGCGTGAGCCTCTCCGCAACGCGTCGGCGACGTCCGATATGTACCTGCGCTTCAAAGACGTTGCACAGTATCTTCGAAAAAGAAACGCACAAGCCAGCATATGAGGGGGACGCCCCTACGTATGTATATAATGATATATACGTGTATATACACGCATACATATATACCAAGTCCCAAGTTTGCGCTACGCACTTTCAATCTATGCGCTACATATGTGCTTCTGAAGATATTCTTGCGTTGCGGGGGGACGCCCCTGTATCATCTGTATTACATATGTACATGCCCGGCACACGCAAAAAATAATTGAAATCTGCTCGCGACTGGCAACAGAACGCGTTGCTGCTCGCTGCTGGCGAACAGTGCTGCCCGAGGATCACTGCTACCTCTGCCCCTCATCATCCGTTGTCGCGGGCGGCCTCCGTACGCACCGAGGATGTCGTCCTTCTTCACCACTTCCGACCTTGAGAAGGGATGGGCCTACCTGGCGCCGAATGAACACACCACGAGCCAATTCTTGAGCCCAAAAACACGCTGTCGAATGGCACCGCGCAGTGCCACCTCTGTGCACGCATGCCTGCCCATGTTATGTACGCGTGTGTGTACAATATAAGATTGCATGTGTTTATGTATATATACATATATGTATATGTATATATAAGATCAGTAGTACATACACACGTACCATATGAAGATTCGCGCGACGGCTGGTCCGCCAGTTGCTGAGGTGGGCCTGGTGCGAGGCCGCAGCAACTGGCGGCAATTTGGCGCGGCGACGTGGGGGGCCAGTGCACAAGAAAACCACGCGCGAGATAGCGAGAGACAGATTGTTAATGCTGCAAGGACCCCCCCCCCCAAGGCCTTACCAGAAGTCCCAAGAGGTGGGCGGTGTGGCGTAAGCCCATGAATAAAAAGAGGCGCCATGAGATCGGGGGGAATATCAGGGCCCACGCCATGATATCCACCCCCCCCTAGTCATCACCCCCCTCTTTGCCGCCCCCGACCTTCTCCCCCTCCCCTTCAGTCAGCCATCGGGCACGCGCCGGCACGGACCACGGGATCTCCGTGGATCTGGCGCGCGGCGCCAGGTCCATGGACTTACCAGCCTCGAACCTATCCCTACCCCTAAGATTGACACGCCAAAAGGCGATGACAATCTTAGGGATTCGCCCTCAAAAAATAAGGGAATCCCCAAGATTGGCATCGTGATGAGGAGATGCCCAGCATAGGGATAGGGATATGTTCCAGGCTGGTAGTGGACCGCCAGATCCATGGACCGGGGGTCAGAGCACCCGAAACACGGGGCCGGCGCCGCCCGATGTGGCGACGGGGCGCGCCGATGGGGACCTTGCTGGGAGGCCCGGAAATGGGCACCAACACCAACACAGGGGGTTGCCTCCACAGGGGGAAGATGATCCTCGATTTCGGTGTTGGTGGTAATCTTTCGGTCACTCTGGAAGCCAGAATATTACCACCATCACCGAGATCGGGATCCTCTTCCCTCGGTGGAGGAACACCGCCGACATTGGTGTTGGTGTCAACCTCTAGGTCTGCGACTTGTCGCCACTCCACGCGCCTGAGTCCATGCCTGCGCTGCCTCGAAGCACAGCGCGGTGCAGATTCAGGATGGGGTTGGCCAAGGCGCGCACCTGTCGTGTTGGCTAAAGAAGCAGTACCGGGTCAGCAACCTTTGACCGCGCACTGGATCCGAAAGCTGGCCCTGCCCCCGTGCAGCAGCAGACACGCTCCAACCCGGTAGCCCGTCGAAGCAGGAGGATCTCGCAACACCCAGGCGTGCGCAGCCCTCATGTCGGGGAGACAGGCGTGCTTTGGAGGGTGAAAGAAGGGGTCTGCAACGGGGGGTCTGCAATGGGGGCTGAATGGCCCATGTATGCTCTATATATATATATACAGATACATAGCTCATGTATGTGATCGGGTATGATTGGCATCAAATGTTGGCGGTCATAGAGAGCCAGTCGTTCGTGCCCGCGCGTTGCCCGCGCGGGCAAACGCGCCGTCCATCCATTATCGTTCATGCGTGCGGGTGTTCTTGCATGTCGCGCGTGGGGCGGAGCACTGCTTGAATCCCCCATCCGATTGGAGGCGCGGTCGACGGCGCTTCGCCCACGAGGCCCCGGCGGGCGCCCATCGGCTGGACGTCTGAAGGCACGAGCCACCGCACGGGGCCGCAGGGGAGGAGGAGGCGGAGGAGGAGGAGGAGAAGGAGAAGAAAGAGGAGGAGGAGGTGGAGGCGGAGGTGGAGGCGGAGGAGGAGGAGGAGGAGGAGGAGGAGGTGGAGGCGGAGGAGGAGGAGGAGGAGGAGGAGGAGGAGGAGGTGGAGGCGGAGGAGGAGGAGGAGGAGGCGGAGGTGGAGGCGGAGGCGGAGGAGGAGGAGGAGGAGGAGGAGGAGGAGGAGCCAGTGCAAAGCGTGCCCACGGGCGCCCACCAGGCGCGAAAAGTCCACACGGCGCGGGCCAGCGCTCGGGGAGCCGACGAGACGCCCACGGGGCGCCTCTTTGGCCGACCACTCAGTGAGACTCGGCGGCGAAGGCCCGCCCCTTCTCACTTTCCCCTGGGGCTCGCAGCCGAGAGAGGAGTACGAATCGCCAGTGCAAGCACCGGCTCCCTATGAGGCCGCGAAACGTGTGAGGGGTGTGCGGGCATGGGCGAGTGGACGCATGCGGACTGTGCCACTAGGGCCTCGGGTCGAGCTCCCTATGGGGCCACGAAGCGCGTGAGGGGTGTGCCGAAATGCGCGGGAGGGACGCATGCGGACTGTGCCACTGGGGCCTTTGGTGGAGCTCCCTACGGGGCCACGACAAAGGTGAGGGGCATGCAGAAATGAGCATGTGGAGGGCAGCAGCAGGAACCGGAGGAGGGAGGAGGCGGACAACGAAGGAGTGACGCGGGGCGCTGTCTCTTCAAAACGAAGACCCCGCACCACAGGGCGGTTGGGAACAGCTCGACGAAATAGATGCTCGGGGCCGGACGGCATCGCGAGCGGCGAGAAAAGCGCGCGGGCGTCCCCATCGCAGAGGTCGGTGTCGGCGTCGTCCGGGCACTCGGTCGCCCGGCACGCACTGACGCAGCCGTACGTCTTCGAGGGCGCGTAGTCGCCTCGGAGGCACCCCCGCAGTCCCAGAGAGCTCCAAGGCGGGGGGACGTCAACCAACCACCCGCCAATCCACTGAGCCGGGGCCGACCGTCCCAGCCATCCCACAGGCCTACCACGACATTGTCCCTAGAGCCAGCACAACTGCCCTACGAACACAAGGCACAGTTGTTGGAACATAGCAAGCCGATGCGCTACAGCACAGCCAAATACATGCTCTAAGAACACTCCGTGCAAATCACAAAAGGTTCTTAGGACATTCCTTGGTTTGGGACTCCCGAAATGGGTACGGAAAAAATGGGCACAATGCCCAACAACAAATGCTGTCCCAAACCAACAGCGGCCGCTGTTGGGCAGGCGGCCTTCTGTCTCAAACGTACACAGGCCGAGGCGACACCGACAGCGAGTCCAGTTTAAGACGAACAAGAACTGCTGCTGGGCATTGTACCCATTCTCTCCGTGCCCATTTCGTTCGTGCCGATTGGTGGGCCTGGAGGCCAGTATTTTTTACATAGGAATTTGAAAAATATTGGACTCTAATGCATGATTAATGTATGAATCATTTTATGCATGCATTCATCGTTGTTTTTAATACTAAATCCCTGCATTTTTAGTACATGATCCGACCGCGGAGCATGTATTAAAAACGGCACTGTAGAGGCAAGCCAGGACGCTTCGCCACTAGAGCCCTCCTAGATGGGGTCGGAGTAGACGGGGTCGGAGGATCGCGCCGAATCGCCGATACATCGGCGATGCATCGGCGATGTATTGGCGATGCACCGGCGATGCATCGTCGACGCGGGCGGTGCACCCGCGACGCCGACGTAGAGCAAATCGTGCTCCACATCGAGCCGCATCGCCGATGCATCGGCGATGCGGAGCGATCCTTCGACCCCATCTACTCCGACCCCATCTAGGAGGCCTAGAGCCACTGCTTCCATCCCTGCCGTGCCCGGCCGGGGCAGGCACAACCGGGCGCAGGCGCCCTCGCCTCGTGGCACGGTCGGGCGGGCTGCTGCCATGTGTGCGCCCTCGGGGGGGGGGCCCTCGCCAGGCCCCAGGGCCGTCAGAAAACGACTCGGGACGGGAAGCCGGGTCCCAGGGTTGGGCGAGCCTTGATAGGGGCCCAAAAAATAGCATAAACATAAAAACTCGGAGGTCCGCGCGGATTTCTCGGATCGGCGCTGGGGCCCCCCGGCGGCGCCTCCGGTGCCGCCCCTGGCGCGCTCCGCGCGCCAGGGAGGGGGGTCCAGCGCCGATCCGAGAAATCCGCGCGGACCTCCGAGTTTGTATGTTTATGTCACGTTTTGTTCCCCTAATTAAATGGCCGGCATTACAACCGACCCGCAGAGGAAAGATGCACGATAAGGATACAAGGGCCTTGCGATCGGGGCACGGCTAACGAGGGTCGCAAAGGATGTGCCGAAGGGGCAAGGATGCAAGGGTAGCCTCGGGAAGGCTGCCCGTCCTTTCTGTGCGAGGGCAGGCGAGGACTGCAGAGAAGGGGCCCTTTAGGGCCCCAGAGGGGGCCACTACAGGGCCCGAAAAGGGCACCTTCCTTCCCCCCCCCCACTAAGTGGCCACTGATCGCCCCCCCATGATTTGACGCGCGCCCAGCGGGGACGGGGGCGACACCTCCAGGGACCCCGCACTGAAGACACCAAGACTTGGCGGCGCGCGCAAGGTAAGGGGGTGGAGGGA